GACTTGGGTAATAACAGACTTGCTATCTACCATTTTGTAGTCCAAGAATTTTGCGGCGACGAATTTCTTCATCCCGGCATCTTCAGTTTTGTACTTCTTTTCAAGTGCATTCCACAATTCTTTTCACGTCTCCACGCCACTGTATACATTATACAAATTATCCTTTAGTCCGCTAAGAATATAATTCCTGTACAAGAAGTCAGAATGCTTCCACGCCTCAATCACGAGAAAGCTATCATTCTCTGGAGTTTCATCTGGAAGATCAGGAACATCTTCCTTGATGAACTTCTGTAGACATAACGTAGTCAAGTAGAAGAACATCTTTTGCTGCCAGCGCTTGAAATCCATCTCGGAAAATTTTCCGGGTTTCTCTGTCGGTGCCAACGCCGGAGTTCGACTTGTCGATGCGTTGGCAGTCATCATCGGAACAACTTGATTTCCGTCATTCGCCATTTTTACTGTAAAAATGACACAAACAAACGTTTAATAAACGTTTAAAACTGGAGTGAAAAATCACGTAGATTTTAATCTCCAACAAAACGCCACGAAGGCTTTACTCTCCAAATGGGAGTACACAAAACCACAAAGGTTTTAAGTTTCCAGAATAATAAAAGTAACACAAATACAGAAATTAAAATTATTAAATTCCTTAAGCTTGTTGTTCCTTCTGTACTTGTAAATAATAATTCTGGAAAAAAATAAAACGTTAGCTTATAAACGTAAATTTAAATGCGACAGTAATTAATTCGAGCCCACTGAATTCACAGTGTTTCCTTAAGGAATTTAATCCCCTCCTAGTACCCAAGGTTATAGATTATTTCCTCCCAGGATAGAACGAATTACGCATTGGTATAGCGGTACTTCAAACCCCAGTGTTTCAGCGAACACAAAGTTCGGCAGCAAATCACACTTATGGATGCTTTGTTTGTAGTTAAAAACAATGCAGAATAAGGAGGACAACTCAGAAGTCGAATGGAAATTCTGAGAGGAAGGAATGCAAAGTATAGCCAATGTTGAATTCTTACTGAAGAGAATATCAGATTGCAATTCGTTTTTCCAGTGTATACGCAGTGTATACAGAGTGTATATCCAGTATATACAGAGTGTATATCCAGTGTATACAGAGTGTTTCAAGTGTTTTTTTTCGATGTGTTCTTCTTTCTCTCCAACTTATGCTCTATTTATAGCAGTTATTTGAGAGAAATCCGCCCCTTCCATGGTGCAACAAGCACTAGATCATGGAGAAAGCACTTACATGGTGGTATATACACTTGCTTGGTGGGAGGAACACTTGCACCATTGTGGGAGGTGCACTAGGCTGCATTGTTGCTTAGTGTTGCAACACAATACACGGATTGGAAAACATCCGTTACAAACACGGATTATATCACGTTAATATTCACTATTAACAAATAAATTTGGTCCAAAAAATTAATCAATCGATCGATCATTTGACCAAATCCAAATCCAAATCCAAATCCAAATCTCATTTCCCATTCACTCTAATTTTAAGACTATTTCATCTTAAACAAAAACTCAACACGATTTGTCCCCTAAATACCCAAAATGTAATTAAATAGAAATAAATATGGGGTGAAATTAAAAAATAGCCAGATTTACAACTTTTAATTGAAAAATACTCAAAAGTTTCAAAAGTAATCGCAATTTAGCCACTTTTCATATAAAGATAAATCTGAATTAAAAAAATGTTAAAAATCCGAAAATATTTTAGCATAACATGTTGGAGTTCGAATTTTTTACATATGAGCTTCCAGCATAATATGCTTGAATTTTATAATGTGTTGGATCATAATATGCTGGAAGTTTATATGCAGGAGCTCCATAAACTCCTGCAAAACAGTGGCTATTTTTCAATGACTTTACAAACGCTGACTATTTTTTTATTACCAATCCAAAGAATGTCTAGCCCGTGCTATTTTGACATAAATATGATGTCGTAATTATGCATATATTGTGTTCAAACAGGAAGGAATTGCAGTTGGAAGGACTTTTGCTGCTTTAAAAAACTATCAAGTGGATGGAAACAAAGAGATGATTGCAATTGGATTAATGAATATTGTTGGTTCCTCTACCTCCTGCTATGTCACAACAGGTATTATAATCTTCCCTTTACCACTTGTAATCCATTAAATTTGACAAAAAGAAATTAAATTCAAAGTAAATGTATGTAAACTGTCTCATATCAGGAGCGTTTTCGCGGTCAGCAGTGAATCATAATGCAGGCAGCAAAACAGCAGTTTCAAACATAGTAATGGCAGTGACAATAATGGTAACACTCCTGTTCCTCATGCCATTATTCCAATACACACCAAATGTTATACTCGGGGCGATCATCGTTACTGCTGTCATTGGCCTAATCGACATCTCAGCCGCTTATCAAATCTGGAAGATCGATAAATTCGATTTCGTTGTCTTGTTATGTGCATTCTTTGGAGTCATTTTCATTTCTGTCCAGGATGGTCTTGCCATTGCAGTAAGCTCAAAATTCCACTGTTTTCCTTTTTTTCTTGTATAGTATTCCTATGGTTTTTGACATTTTTTGCTTTCTATAATATTGAATTTCAGGTTGGAATATCAATATTCAAGGTGTTACTGCAAATTACAAGGCCAAAAACAGTGATGTTAGGAAATATACCTGGTACAAGAATTTATAGGAATTTAGATCATTATAAGGAAGCTTTGAGTGTACCTGGTTTCCTCATTTTAAGTATTGAAGCTCCAATTAACTTTGCCAATACAACTTATCTCAAAGAAAGGTACAAAAAGTCATTTTTTGCTTTCTTTTTTAATTTCCTTTTGTTTTGCCATGTTTATTTTGGATGTTTTAATATTATCTGTTACTCTTAATTGCAATAGGATTTCAAGATGGATGGAAGAGTATGAGTCAGGAGAAACAAAAAAGCAGTCAGAGCTACAATATGTGGTCCTTGATTTGTCTGGTAAGTTGACTGAAACATGATTCCTCCATACAGTCGTAAAAGAGGGCCAAGTGCACAGATAGCTATTGTCCTTTTCGGATGCTATTTAGAAATTAGCCACTACTTATTTTGTCCTGAAGTTTTAAACTAAAAAGTTCAACTTCCACACATTTCTAGACTTTTTTGTCCCGAAAGTTTGAACCGAAAAACTGAAATTCAGGATACACTGAATAATTTCTAAATAGTAGTTTTTTAGAGTGGCCATCTGGTATAGTAGTTTTGATATTTTACTATTTTATTTTTTTTTTGTGGGGGGGGGGCAACAATTCTTTTTTTTATCATTATTATCTATTTTTTCTGTTATATTATCTGAAAATTGACCAACAACAACAACTAGGTCTTAGTACTAGACAAGTTGGGATTAACAATATGAATCCTCATTTTTTTCTTTAAACTTAACTCATATCATCATCATTATCTGAAAATTAAATATTGAAAATTGATCATAATTGTTTTTCAATATTCAGCTGTGAGTGCTATTGATACAAGTGGAATCTCATTGTTTAAGGATCTAAGTATGGTACTTGAAAAGAAGAGTCTTGAGGCAAGTACACTTTAGCTAAGCTTATTTCACCATTGCCTAGTTTACCTTATCTTTTTTGCTTCTTTTCATTTATCTTATTTTATTCAATTTTTGTTATTATAAACTGTTCTTATTTTGCAAATCATAGCTTGTGTTGGTGAATCCAATTGGAGAAGTACTGGAAAAGTTACAGAGAGCTGATGATACAAAAGATATGATGGGAACAGATTGTCTGTTTTTAACAGTTGGAGAAGCAGTAGCTTCAGTTTCCTCAACAATTAAATACCAAATACCAGCTCATGTATGATATCCTGAAGTAGCTACTGTAATTTTCTTCCCTTTTTTACCTTCAAAGATTTGATTCTGTTTGATCAAGAAGCTAATTAAAGCATATAGAAACAATATCTTTCTCCTTAGATCTACTAGATATGCAGTGATAGTATTGTACAAGCATTGCCTGGTAAGGCAAATATTGATTTTCAGAAAGCATTATCCATCAAAGTAAACTTGTTTTGTTAGCCTATGCATTACCACTTGAAATGTTTGTTCATTACAAAGAAAAACAGTAGCATGCTCTAATAAGATGAATTAAGTAATATGAAATTGAGAATCTTTTGCAAGAGATAACAATGAATTGATTTATGCAAGGTCCGGGAAATGGCCGCATCTAAGAGGTGTGATGTAGATAGTCTATCCTAATGCAAGTATTAGTGGTTGTTTCCACAGCGCACGAATCCTGGCCTATAGGTTACAAGGAAACAAACTTATCATTAGCCCGGGGCTTCCATCTGACTATATTATTATAGTCAAATTGAAAAATGAGTTCTTAAAACTATAACACTAATCAAGAAGTTCTCAATTTTGTGGGTAAGATAATGAAAATCACATAATCATTGGTGCATAGCCCATAGCCCAAGAAAACTTTAAGGGTCTGTTTGAAAAGTCACCAGGTAGTTGAAATTGGTGTAGTTATTAGGATCGTAATTACACAGCCTAATAATTACACAGTATGTAATTACGATGATCCGTTTGTTTTTCATAGTGTAATTACACTATAATAAACTATGTTGAAACTGTGCAACAGTAACCCAAACACCGAATGGCGGTGACCCACGACATCATTCTTGAAGAACGCCTCACCCAATTCTTGTCCAATATTCTTTATGCTACCCCTGATCGGATATCCTCCTTATGCTTGGGTATGATACCTTTTTTAATCTAATAGTAATACCGAGAAACTTGTTCTTTTTCTTTTTATATGTGTTTTCGTATAGCCAACCCCAACTTTGCTTGGACTTGAGGCCTAACTTTTACTACTATTGTTGTATCTGTGTTGTCATGCTGTTTTCTTTACTGATCCTATATGATTTCGGGACATGTTTATCGTGTATATTTATATATATATATATATAGTCCATTACTCAAATGGTCATTCAACTATCCGAAATTCTCTACCAAAGTCATCTTTCTTTCGGCTGTAATAACAAAATCACTTAACTATGTTATAGCACTTAGAAGGTCACTCAACTATATTTCTCAAATTTTTGATCACCAAATACCTATTTTATCCTCTACATTATCAACTTTTATCTTCTTTTTATTTATTTTTTAGCTTTTTAATATAATAATTGTTTTCTCTTTTTAATTTATATTATGGACTTACCTTAGAATAAATAAATCTTAGTCATATATTAAAAAAATTAAAAGAGTATTTAAGCATATATAATGTTGGAATAATAAAATATTGAGCATAGTAGAAAGTTAATTAGAACAATTTGTTCGTAATAATAATTTCGATATTAACAAAAAAACTCAAAAATTTGTTTACACAATTGAGCATGAAAGAAAATAAAAGTTTTAAAATATATATTCCATGCACGTACTATAAAAAATAATTATTTAAAATAAAGGTATTCTTGTAATCTACATTACATATTCTTGAATATTATGCTCAATTATACTATTATTTTGATATTATATATGCTAGAAATTTTTTATTTTATATTTTTTAGATAAAATATTTTTGTTCTATAGGTAAGTCCATAATGTTGATTAAAAAGAGAAAATAATCATAATATTAAAAAAGCAAAAACAAAAAAACAGAAGATAAAAGTTGATAATTTAGAGGGTAAAATAGGTATTTGACGATCAAAGGCTTGATAAATCTTGTTGAATGATTTTTTGAGTGTTATAGGTATAGTTAAGGAACGTTGCTGTTACAAACGAAAGATAGATGACTTTGGTAGATAATTTCGAATAATTGAGTGGTTATCTAAGAAATGGACCCTATATATTTGGATAAGATTAAAAAATCTAAATTGGGCGTCTGGTTCAAATTTGATATTGATTAGAAAGAAAGAAAAAAATTGTATTACAGAACATAGGTTTCTGTCAATGTTCTTTGATTATGGCTGACATTATATATCTAGCAGCAAGGTTACCAAAGGCGAAAAGCGCAAAAAAGCTTTATGTCACGACCCAAAACTCCGCCTTGTCATGATGGCGCCTATCGATGGTACTAGGTAGGGCTATTTATCGAGCGGATTGGGCAGTAGTTTATTCTTAACGATTTGGCTTATCGGTTATCGGTTTTTAAATGTATTAATCCGCTAGCCACCCGATAAGATATCGGACGGATTGGTATTGGTTTAGTTCTTATCGAACGGTTTATCATCCTAATACAAGTGGATTGTAACAACAATTTTGTATGCCAAATCATTTTCGCTGTGCAGGGTGGATCAGGTCATCAGGGTCCGTGCAAGGACTATTGTTCTCAAACCAAATACCAATTGTAATTGATCAGTTCTATTGTGACAAGAGCAAATGCAAGAACCAGACATCAGCGGTGGCTTTATCAGGAATTAACTACGAAAAAATAACAGTTTTTAAAAGCAATTTTAAAAAGCAAAAATATGAACTTTCTCTTCAAACTAGGGCACTAAGAATTCTAATGAGAATTGAGATGCTCTTTGATTTTAAAGACCTCAACAAGAAAAGAAACTTATCATCTGCTAACTGTTGTTCTGGCTATGGCGAGAAGGATAGGCGAGACAGCGAGAGGGAGACGGCAAGTCGACAAGATAGAGTGTTGGAAGCCTAGAAGTCAACGAGATAGAGTAATGCTGGTGGCTGCTGGTTTAGGCGTTAGGGTTTCTGGCTTTTGATTATTTAGGAACTAGGCGTTACGCGTTAGAGACAGAGTACTGGAACTCTGGAAGTGGAAAGGTTTTTGATATTTAATATATATATGTATAAAAATAAATTTTTGTATATATATATATTCTTAACGGGTTAACGGATTATCCGTTAAGAAAATTGAATAATCCGCCCCCAAACTCTATAAGTCGTTAATAAAAAAAAATTCAATCTGTTCCCCGTCCGTTAAATCGTTAACATGATACCAATAAGCCATTAAGCTTCGATTTCGGTTTGATTTTCGGTTTCGGTTTGATTTTCGGTTTCGGATCGGTTTTGAACACCCCTAGTACTAGGCCAACTGACTTTCCAAACACTTATATATTTCATTACAAGATAAACCAAAAGTTATTTTTAATAACATAAATCCCATAAAGAGTTAAACTCAGAATAAAATGCGGAAAAGATAGTCCGACACCGGGGTGTCACTAATTCATGAGCGTCTAAACATAACTGATCTGAACATAACACAACTGACAAAGTCTGAAATACAAATACAACTAAATGAGAGGTAGAGAAGAAGAAAGTAAGGCTGCGAGCGGTGGGCAACTACCTCGCTATCTCCAATAATCAGCTACGAGGACTATCAACACCCTCCATGACCGCCAACTCCTGGATTTGCACACGAAGCGCAGGGAGTAACGTGAGTACACTAACTCAGTAAGTAAAAATAATAAATAAGGAACTGAAGATAGTGACGAGCTACACAGTTTTAGTTCATTTTCAATAATTTCATAAAGGAAAATAGTCATGCTTCCCAAGTTCCGGTAATTCAAGTCAAATCAATTTGTTTAAATCAAGTTCAAGTAAAACCATAAAAGAATATCTTTCAACAGTTTTCAAAATATATAAGGTAATTGTGTGCATCAATAATATAATCATATACTGCCTCTCAGGCAATCAACTCTCAGTTCTCTCAGCCACTCTAACCTCGCAATCACTCATTCCTCACAATCACTCGGCAATCGGCACTCGGCACTCGTACACAGTAGGTACCTGCACTCACTGGGAGTGTGCAGACTCCGGAGGGGCTCCTTCAGCCCAAGCACTATATCAAGCCAATCATGGCGTAAATCAATAAAAGATGTTGCGATGTGCAGCCCGATCCCATAAATATCCTCATAATAAGGCCCTCGGCCTCACTCAGTTATCAATCTCTCCAGTCTCTCGGGCTCTCAAAAATCAGGAAAAATCAGCCCAAACAGCAATAACATGAAGTATCAGATAGAATAACAGAGACTGGGATATGATATACGAGTAAAAACTGTAACTAAGTACTAATAGCACATAACATGCAATTCAGCAAGTAACGCGGCCTCTGTGGTACTCAACAGTACCAACACATAGCCTAGACATGGTTTCTAACATGATTTACAATAGATTTTCATAACACATAGAGAGCATATAGCTAACAGCATATTGTTTAACTTTACAGCTTATACGGGGCGGACCAAGTCACAATCCCCTCGTTACATGCCACACGCCCGTCACCTATCATGTTACTACCTCAATCCGAGCAAAATCTTACTCTGCAATGCTTTTGCCTCTCGAATCAGTCTCCTAACGTCCTGAATCTAGCCACAATCAGTACAATACTATTAATATATGCTAAAGGAATCAATTCTACAAGAAAACTACTAAATTAGACTCCAAAATCTGAAATTGACTCAAACCCGGCCCTCGAGCCCACGTCTCGAAATCCGATAAAAGTCACAAAATCCGAAAGCCCATTCACTCACAAGTCTAACTATATTAATTTCATCAAAATCCGATATCATTTGCCCCTCCAAATCCCCAAAACTTACTCTCCAATTCTCAAGCCCTAACCTCCCAAATTTCACCTTAAAAACTCACAAACTAGTGTAAAATCAGTGGGAAAACACCATTATTGAACATAAATAAGCATAAGGAACTCACCTCAGTGATAGCTCTGAAATCCCTCTCAAAAATCCCCAAAATCCGAACTCAAAGATGTGAAAATAGGAAAAATCTCGAAGTGTTCTATTTATACCTTCTGCCCAGCAAAACGGCATTTATGGTACCATTTACGCTTCTACGACGCCGCACCTGTGGAAATTTCATCGCAGGTGCGGATACCACTTACTCACCCAAAATCCGCATCTGCGGTCAAATACTCGCACCTGTGAGTGCGCACCTGCGGGCCCCTCCCGCTTCTGCGATCCTTTCTTCTCATGCCTTTTTCCACATCTGCGCTCCACTTCCGCATCTGCGATTCCGCAGATGCGCTCCTAATCACGCACTTGCGCTTCCAGTCCACCTCAGCCTTGCCCGCATTTGCGAGCTCTTCTTCACTTCTGCAGGG